TTATTTATTTATTTATTTATTTGATGAGAAAGAGGTTAAAGGGGCTAGAAAGAGTCCCAGCACCCACATAGAGGCTAACAGTCATCAGTAACTCTAGTTCCAGGGGATCTGATGCTCTTTTTCTGACCTCTATGGGCTTTGCATGACTGTGGGTGCACTTATACACATGTAGACAAAACACTGTTTTGTTTTTTTTTGGTCTTTTTGAGATAGGGTCTCCCTGTAGCCCCAGCTGACCTGGAACTCGCTATGTAGACCAGGCTGGCCTCGAACTCACAGAGATCTGCCTGCCTCTGCCTCCCAAGTGCTGTGATTAAAGGCTTGAGCCACCACGCCCAGCCAACAAAACACTCATAAAATAAAAATAAACTTAAAAAATTTTTAAGAAAGGAAAGGTTTTAACCTTTTTGTTTCAGCTCTAGGAATTAAACTGAAGACCTTGTACTAGGCAAGCACTCTACACTCTACCACTGACCCATATTCCCATAAGCCCTTTATTTATTTGTTTATTTTTTAAATATTTTATTTATTTTTATGTGTGTGAGTGTATTGCCTGCATGTATGTGAGTACACCTGTGTCGTGCAGTGCCGCGGAGGTCAGAAGAGGGCTTCGGATTCCCCTGGAACTGGAGTTAAAGATGGTTCTTAGCCGCCATGTGGGTGCTGGGAATTGAACCCAGGTCCTCCACAAGAGTAGTCAGTGCTCTTAACAGCTGAGCTATCTCTCCAGCCCCTTATTTGTTTATTCTGAGTCAGGGTCTTGCTAAATTGTCCAGGCAGACCCTGAACTTGGATCCTATTTCCTCAGCCTCCTTAGTAGATGGAATTACAGATGTACTACCACATATGGTAAGATCTTTTAATGATTAATTAGGTTTGGGGATAGGGCTGATCGGGAGGAAAGTGTAAGAATGACACAAGATCCAGTGATGCAACTGGATGATACAGTGGAAGAAGGTTTGAGGGTATTATTGCATCATCTCAAGATATAAAATATTTCTTTTGCTCCAGAAAAGTTACATATACTGATTTTCTGATACTCTCCCCATCATCATTTCAGATTATTAATATTCTTATTTCTGTAACCATCTCTTAGGTTGGTATCTTTTGTCATGTATTAGTTTTTTCTGTTCTATAACTGCCCATAAACTTCATATGTATTTTTTTTGTGCCTGCCTGCTTTTACTTAATACCTATCTATCTATCTATCTATCTATCTATCTATCTATCTATCTATCTATCTATCTATTGTCTGTCTGTCTGTCTGTCAGTCTGTCTGTCTGTCTGTCTGTCTGTCTATCTAATCTGCATGTACATACGTCAGGCTAGTCTCGAATGAACTTCCCTATGTAGCTGAGGATGATCCTGATCCCGCTACCTCCTGGGCAAGTCCACTTCTGTTCCTAATAACTTTCTTCACAAGAATCTCCCCCCATCTTTCTATGTTGCCCAGGCCAGCTTCCAGTGTCTGGGCTCAAGCAAATCTCACACCTCAGCTTTCCTAGTGGCTCGGATTGTAGGTGTATGATACCACAATTGAATTTTCTTTTTCTTTCTTTCTTTTTTTTTTTTTGAAATAAGAGTCTCCCTGTAGCTTCATCTGGCCTGGAACTCACTATGTAGACCAAGCTGGCTTGGAACTCACAGAGGTTTGCTTGCCTCTGCCTTGCAAGTGCTGGGATTAAAGTTTTGTGCAACCAGGCTTGTTAATAATTGACTATTCTTAACTTCATTCAGATTCTGTGAATATGTACCCAGGATAATATGTATCCAGATTAAGTAAACAATTTTGAGTTTTAATAAATGTACATATCTATAATTACTACCACAATAAAGATATAGAACATTTTCATCATTCCCAAAAAAGTTGCTTGCATGGTGGTTGTAGTAGCACACACCTTTAATCCCTGCACTTCGGAGGCAGATGAAGGCAGATCTCTGAGTTCAAGGCTCTGAAGATAAATCAAGTAAAGAAAACATCAATAAGCCGGGCGTGGTGGCGCACGCCTTTAATCCTAGCACTTGGGAGGCAGAGGCAGGCGATCTCTGTGAGTTCAAGGAAAAAAAAAACATCAATAATAGTCTTAATTTTCCTGTTACTGTGTTGTAAAGAAATAAATTATTGTTATTATTATTTATGGTCTCACTGTGCCTGGCTGGGCTGGAACTTGCAGCAATTCTCCTGCCTTTGCCTCATGAGTGCTGGGATTGCAGGTGTATGCCATTCTACCCAGCTGGAATTAAAGGTGTGTACCACCACCATACCCAGATTTGAGTTTAATTCTTTAAATTTCATTTTTATTTTTGGTATGTATGTATGTATGTATGTATGTATGTATGTATGTATGTATGTGAGAGAGAGAGAGACAGAGAATCAGAGATAGAGAGCAAGCACGTGCACACATACCATGGTGTGCATGTGAAAGTTAGAGGACAACTATCAGGAGTTGGTTCTTTCTTCCACCTCGTTTCCAGGGTTGAAACTCAAATTGTGCTTGCATGGCAAGTGCCTTTCCCTGCTGAGCCATCACACCAGCCCTGAAGTTAAATTTTTATTTTAAAAATTTTTATGTGTATGAGTGTTTTGCCTGAATGCATGTATATGCACCACTTGTGTGCCTAGTGCTGCTAGGAACCAGAAGAGGGCATCAGATCCCTAGGAACTGGAGTTATAGATGGTTTGAGCCACCCTATGGGCACTGGGAACCAAACTCTGAAGGAGCACGAGTGCTCTTTCCTGCTGAGCTATCTCTCTAGTCACATGAAGTTAAATTTTCAAAATTTTTATTTTTTTTAGTTTATTCTTTTTAAAACTTTTTTTTACATTTATTTATATACTTTGTGTGTGTGTGTGTGTGTGTGTGTGTGTGTGTGTGTGTGTG